AGTCCAGAACTAAACAATTCAGCAGTGTTAAGTTGCGAGCTCTTCTTCATAGCGTGATGAAATAGTAGTAGTAGTAGTTGGGTGCCATCCCACTGGGGGTGTAAATCATCCCTTTATCCAGTGGCTGCACACCGCACGCACTCCTCAGCTCTTAGAGCCACCACTGTCGTGGCATCACAGGGCTTGTGTTCAAGCACTCCTTATTTGACTTCGTCATGGCCCCAAATCCAAGAGTAGAGATGTTGGCAATCTGGATGTGCCAGAGAAGTGGGAAAGTCCTTCCTTCAAGTGGATACAGTCTCCATTTAATAAGGAAAGGGGACAGCTATTTGGGTCAGCAGCTAAGACGCCACTTGGAATGCTCACATCCCATATCAGAATGTCTGGTTTGATCCCAGCTGCGCTCTGATCCGACTTCCTGCCAGTGTACGTCCTGGGAGGTGGCAGGTGACTGCTCAAGTCCCTGGGTCCCTGCTACCCACGTGGGAGATCCAGATTGAGTGCTGGGCTTCTGGCTTAGGCCTGGCTTGGCTATTGTGGGCATGCGGGAAGTGAACCAGAGGATGTTAGATGTCTCACTGCCTTTCAAATAAAATGAAAATAAATAATTTTATTGAAATGAAAGAAAAAATCATTTGCTGATGTTGCTAAGATTTATGGAATGTTAATATTAATTTTTCCTTGTTCCTAATTTATAAATTAAAAGTTTATCGCAGGTATATCTGTAAAGGAAAAAGCATTGTCCCTGTAGAGTTTAGGGTCCAGTACCACCTACATTTTCAGGCATCCCCGGGGGGTCTTGGGACAGAGCCTGTTAGGTAGGGGGAAATGCTGTATTCCTACTCTGAGGAGATTTCAATTATTTCCATACAATGGAAGCAGACATGGTGTGGGGGGGAGACTTTTTTGACTGTCACTCTGCAGTATTCACACCACTTACCCTTCCCACTTAACTGGAATGTTGAGTAACCAAGCCAGCTACCTTCAGAAGAAACATTTTCTGTGTTCTCCATGGGTACTCCACTGACGCCTGTCTGAATAGATTTAATTCACTGCACAAATTCAACTATGCAGAAGGCATAACCTGTACATATCCATCTGGTCCCATAGAATATCGTCCATCAGCTAAGTTTCTCAAAAACAGCATTCTAGCTTTTCTGATTTAGCCCTGATATTCCGAAATACTCTCAAGTGGGATTAAAAATAATTTTATGGTTCTGAGTTTCTGAAAATTGCTGAGATACCTAAGTGAAATAATGCTTTGGCAGTGTACAATATTACAAAATCACTCAAGCTGTAGTTCAGAAGCAAAATATATTGTAAGGAAAAAGCATGGTTATAGTTTGCCATTGACCGAAGCAAGCTGATAATATTAAAAAAAAAAAAAAAGAGTTAAAATGTAATATGGGGGCTGGCGCTGTGGTGTAGCGGGAAAAGCCTCCACCTGCAGTGCCGGCATCCCATATGGGCACCAGTTCGAGACCTGACTGCTCCACTTCCGATTCAGCTCTCTACTATGGCCTGGGAAAGCAGTAGAAAATAACGCAAGTCCTTGGGCCCCTGTACCTAGGTGAGAGACCCAGAAGAAGCTCCTGGCTCCTGGCTTTGGATCGGCCCAGCTCTAGCCATTGCAACCATTTGGGGAGTAAAACAGTGGTGGATGATCTCTCTCTCTCTCTCTCTCTCTGTCTTTCTGCCTCTGCCACTCTGTAACTCTGTCTTTCAAATATATAAATAAATAAATACTAAAAAAAGTGTAAGATTTCTACAAAGACAGTGGACAGTTGAGTCAAATATCAGTATAGGAGCCTGCATGTGGCACAGGGAGTTAAGCCACTGTTTGTGACACCAACATCCCCTATTGGAGCATTAGTTCAAGTCCTGGTTGCTCCACTTCTTATCCAGACCTCTGCTAGTGAGCCTGGGAAAGCAGCAGAGGAAGCCCCTGCCACTCACATGGGAGACCTAGATGGAGTTCTAGACTCCTGGCTTCAACCTGGACCAGCTCTGGCCATTGCAGCCATTTGGGGAGTGAACCAGCAAATGGAAGATCTCTCTGTCTCTGTAAATATTTATTTTATTCATTTGAAAGGTAGAGTTACAAAGAGGAGGGGGGAGAGCGCGAGCTAGCTCTTCCATCCATTGGTTCACTCCTCAAGTGGCTGCAATAGCCAGGACTGGGCCAGGCTGAAGCCAGGAGCCAGGAGCTTCTTCTGTGTTTCCCACATGGGTGCAGGGGCCTAATAACTGGGCCATCCCCCAATACTTTCCCAGGCACATTAGCAGGGAGGTGGATTGTAAGTGGAGAAGCCAAGACTAGAACTGGCACCCATACGGGATGCTGACATCACAGGTGGTGTCTTTTTTTTTTTTTTTTTAAGATTTATTTATTTATTTGAAAGAGTTACACAGAGAGGCAGAAAGAAAGAGAGAGAAAGAGAGAGAGAGAGAGATAGGCCTTCCATCTGCTGGTTCACTCCCCAACTGGTCGCAATGGCTGGAGCTGCGCCGATCTGAAGCCAGGAGCCAGGATCTTCTTCCGGGTCTCCCACGTGGGTGCAGGGCCCCAAGGACTTGGGCCATCCTCCACTGCTTTCCCGAGCCTTAGCAGAGAACTGGACAGGAAGTGGAGCAGCCGGTCTCAAACCGGCACCCATATGGGATGTCAGCGCTTCAGGCCAGGGTGTCAACCCACTGCACTGCAGTGCCGGCCCCAGGTGGTGTCTTAACCTGCTACGCCACATTACTGGCCCCTCTCTCTCACTCTTTCAAATAAATAAAGAAATTAAAAAAAAAAAAAGATCAGCATAATGCAGATGATTTCTCAATGGCACTGTGGACCTTTATTTTACTATTTGGGTAATCATTTTTATCTGGAAATATTTTCAGCATTGTGTACTTTTATGTGTAATCAGCTAATGAAGTAGTTGAGAAGTATGTCCCAAGCATGTCCCCAGTCAGGCTGGGTACTGAGGATATAGGTGTAGAAGATTAAGCTCTGGTCTTCAAAACTAATGAGGGGGGTTAGTTAATTTACTATTTTTTTTTTTTTTTTTTTTTTTACTCACTGAAGCCTGGAGCAACAGGCAAAGATTAATGTGGTTTGGAGTAACTTAAAAAGCTTTGGTGATTAAATTCAGTAAAATAGCTAAAAATATTGTGGGAGGAGTTTGCAGAGAAATCTGGTGTTTTTTTTTTTTTTAAGATTTATTTATTTGAAGGGCAGAGTGACAGGAGAGAGAAATTTCATTTGCTGGTTCACTCCCCAAATGGCCTCAATGGCTGGAACTGGGCTCTAGCTTGCTTCTTCTGGGTCTCCCACAAGGGTGCAGGGCCCCAAGCACTTGGGCCACCTTCCATTGCTTTCCCAGGTGCATTAGCAGGGGGCTGACTCTGAGGCAGAGCAGCTGGGACCCTAGTGCTCCAATATGGGAGCAGGTGTCACAAGCAGTGGCTTAACCCGCTGGGCCACAACACAGTTCAACTCTTAGAATAATAAATTGAGCTTTTAAGTTTTTATATAAAGGTTTCATTCTTATTAACCTGTACTGCCAATACTTACACAAAAAAATACAATGCAAATGGACAAACTGTCTTACTTGCAATGAATGTTGTAGATGTGGATCTTCTCAACAAGTCCCCGTGAAGACTAATTCTTATCTTAATTGTTGATCTATGTATTATTTGAGATAGAAAACCTGAGATATTGTTCCAGGCACCAGGGACATATGGCTGAGTGAAGCAGTTCCCTCCTCTGGAGGGAGGAAAGCCATAGCAAATCAGCGTGAGAAGCTCCCTGAGGAAGGGGTTGAGAGGGCAAACTTGAAGGAGTAGGTGACCTTGAAGGTCATCAGCAGGACAAGCAGCAGGGGACAGCAGTCTGTGGGAGAGTGCCTGCTGGTGCACGGAGAGCTGGGGACAGGCATTCCAGAAAGAAAAAAGCCTGCCAACAGCTAGGCAAAGCCAGAGCAGTGACGAGTGAGCCTGAGAGCAGATTTGGAGTTTCCTACTTACTTCAAACCCTTCCTTATTTATATGGAGAGCCTTTAAAAATAAATAATTAGCACACAATGAGTGTAGGATTTAAATATAAATGAATGTTAATGAGTATTTCTGGGCATTAAGAACATACTATATATAATTGGAATCATTTTATGTAAGCATTTATCTTCCAATACAAGCTATTTTGTGATGATTCAATTGTTTACATTCAAATTCACACAGAACGCTGATCACAGCACCAAATAGTATCTTCAATAGAAAAATGCATTTTTTAAAGGATTTACTTATATGAAAGTTACTTAGAGGGAGACATGCTGATTCACTCCCTAGATGGCTGCAATGGCTGGGGCTAGGCCAGGCCAAAGCCAGGAGCCAGGTGCTTCAACCCAGCCTCCCTCATTAAATGGCAGGGGCCCAAACACCTGGGCCAACTGCTGCTTTCCCAGGTTCATTTGCAGGGAGCTGGATTGGAATTGGAGCAGCTGGGACTTGAACCAGAACCCCTATGAGACAGGCGGTGGCTTTATGCGCTGTGTCACGACACCAGCCCCCCAAATGTGTATTTTTATAATGAAGAATACAGTCAGTTTGCTTTAGGGCTTACTCAGATTACAGAACCAGAATAAAAGGAGCACTAAAAACTGTTAATAAAATCATTAAATATGTTGTATTTCGAAGGCCTCTTAAAAGTTATGGTTACCGGTTTATAAATCAGTTTTATGTTACAAATTGTTTAGCACATACACATACACACTGAAATACATACACATTGAAATAGTTTGAATAAATGACTCGTTTGAAACACATCATCAGGATTTTATTGAAAGCTCTTTTTCAGAAGAAAATATCCTAGTGAGCACAGCCTAAAAAGAAAAAAACTGCCATCACACTGTCACAGCTGCCGAGTTTCAGGAAAGCACTTTTGAAAACTCCTATGATAACAACGCAGGTCAAGCCAGATTTCACCAGAAAAAAACACATTTAAACGTATGCAACACCGAGCACAACCCAGCCCCATTTTTGTTGCTAGGAGAACCTTCTATTTTGTATCAGGCATCGCAGCCTTGACGACGCAATGTTTGCGCGTATTTTGCACATGTTTTTCTACAGCGACTCCTCTCCCGCAGTAATAATAGTCGAATGGCTCTGGTTTCCTCTTGCGCCCGGCCCAGTTTTTCCGTTGCAGCCCCAGTTCTCACAGGCGGCGGGGCGCTCGCTCCGGGACAGGGCGGCGCGGACCGGGGGACCAGCGCGGCTGTGAATGGGGAGGGAGGAGGCTGGAGGGCGGCTCGGGTCTGCCCCCCTTACCCCCCCAGGAGCTGAGCTCTTCACCCAGCAGCTCTGGCTGCGTTTCCAAATCGGCAGTTTGGGGAAAAGAAAAAAAAAAAAAAAAAGCAACGCCACGTCTTGCAAACACGAGGGGAGGGGGCGAGCACTCTGTGCGCGCGCGGCCCCCAAGGGGTGAGAAAGGAGGGGCCCGGAACCTTGTGAAATAAACTCCCCTAGACCCAAAGTCCCCGGGCTCGGGCCCCCGGGCTGGAGGGCGACACCGGGTCCAACGGCCGACCCGCCGGCGGCGCGCGCGCCCGAGGGTCGTGGCGGGAAGCGCGCCAGCTCCCAGTGTTCCCTCTACCGCCGCCCGGGGTCTTCCTTCCCCACGATTCCGAGCCACCCCGCCTCCAGGGTGCGCGGGGGTGCGCGGGGGAGGGGACCCGCAGGGGGCAAGGACGCCGCGACCGACGTTAACCGTTAACGGTGGGCTTCTCCCCGGCGACCGGCGCGGCTACAAGATGGCGGATGATAGAGAAGGTACAGGTAGGCGCGCCGAGGGGAGGGCTGCCCTCGTCGCCCGCTGCGACCCGGGGCTGTCCCGGCCGGGGAGGGGCGGGCCACCCTCCATCTTGTCCCTGCCGCGGGAAAAGGGTGGCCTCCGGAGGGTGCCCTCCCGCCCCCGGCCCCGCAGCCCGCCCGGGCCGCCGCCGGGCCCCGCCCCTCCCCTCCCCTCCCCGCCCCGCCCCTCCCCTCCCCTCCCCTCCCCTCCCCTCCCCCGCCCCCGCCCGCGGCGTCCTCCTCCCCCGCCCGCGGAGGCCGGGCCTGCTGCAGCGCGGGCTGCGGAGGAGGCGCCGGCCCGCGGACGCTGATAATGGCGTCGTTGTTCACGGTCGCCGCCGCCGCCTCCACACCCTCGCCGGGGTCTCGCTGCCGCAGGCGCCACACCAGCAGCTGTCCCGGCTGTGGGCACCGGGGGGCCGGCCTGGCCGGGGACGGGTTCTGGCCGCCCAAATCTGGCGGAGTCCGCTCAGCCCGCGCTGAAGCCCCGCCCCGGCCCCGGCTGGATGGCGTTTGCGGCCACCATCTTGCCGCCTCGGTGAGGACGCGAGAGGACGGCCTCGGGGTCACAGCCGCTCCTGCCGCGCCTCTCTGGTGGTGGGACTCGGGGCTGCACCTCGTCCGGCATCTTAAAAACACAGAAACAGTAACGGCCCACGCAGCTGTTCATAAAGAGGGAAAAAGCGGGAGCGGGCGGGGCCGCGCTTGCGCCGCGGTGCGCGGGGCGGTCTGGCCGGGTTGCGGCGGGCCGAGAGGATTGATGTGTTGCCCGTGCGGAGCCGCGGATCCCTAACATCCACGTTTAGTTTTCAAGGGCCCGGACGTTGTCTTTAATTCAGGGCTGTGATTTAAAATCGGGTCCTCGGTTAACCGTCCTCTTAGTCACGCCAAAATAATTGTTTGATAATTGGCAAAAACACCGAAAGAATTACGAGACCGTAGAATCGAACATCTTAGAAGTGAAAAATCACACTCTACTTTGGTTTCCTTTTTGGAGCCTTCAGAAAAGCTCTATTTTTTTTTTTTTTTTAAATCAAAGAACAAAGGTAGTTTGGGCTCACAGCTAGGGTTTACGTGAGCTCCCCAGTCATGGTGAGCCCAGAAGATCTGCGCAGACAAACGTGAAACCGTGCCAAAGGCCTACTTACTTGATGACAGGCATACTGATTTTTATAGTAATCCGGGAAGGCAGGCTTATTTTATTCATTTTGCTTTTAGCAAGACTTAACCCAGAAAACGGGATGTTATTTTGATCTATTGTTATTATGTACCAAAAAGGAGAAAAATCATCACAGATTTTTTTTTAAATCTGATCAACCTAAGAATTTTTTTTTAAAGAGGTTGGGAGCTTCCCATTTTTTTCAGTTTTCAACGAATACTTTTTTCTGTTGAAAATTAATTTGGATGAAGATGTAGTTATGTGTATAACCATAGAAGAAGTAATAAGTGGTGAAAGCTGGCTGTCTTTTATTCAGTTGGCGTTTGTTTAATGCTTGTCCTATGGAAGGCAGATTCAACACAGATGACAAGGACATCGAGGTCAGTGAGGGAGATAACACACACAAATGGGAGGGGACAGGTACCCAGGCTGAACAACTTTTGTGCCCAACATTATGGCAGGTGTAATGGACTCAGGCAATCTGGGCGTCACTGGGAGCTTACCAGAAATGAGCGGTCTCAGGCACTGCCCTAGACCTACCAAATCAGAGACCTTGTTCTAATGTATCCCTGGGTGCTCCGTATGTGCATTAAAGTTGGCGAAGCATTGTTGTATGCTATATCTCATTTATTCTTAAAACAGTTTTATAAGGATATTACTCATGTAATGAAATACCACACAGCACTTTATAAATATGCACACTTTTTATATTTCAGAACTTTTTAATAAATTCTGTTTATGTGAATTTTAAAAAACTCAGGAGACAACTAACTGCAGTCTGAAGGGTATGAGGAAATAAATGGGGACTCACTTGGTGATATATCTTTGAGAGGACATTGCATTCCTATATTTGATTCTCAGTTCTTTTATTTTATTTTATTTTATTTTTTTGACAGGCAGAGTGGACAGCGAGAGAGAGAGACAGAGAGAAAGGTCTTCCTTTACCGTTGGTTCACCCTCCAATGGCCTCTGCGGCTGGTGTGCCGATCCGAAGCCAGGAGCGCCAGGTGCTTCTCCTGGTCTCCCATGCAGGTGCAGGGCCCAAGGACCTGGGCCATCCTCCACTGTACTCCCGGGCCACAGCAGAGAGCTGGACAGGAAGAGGAGCCACTGGGACAGAATCTGGCGCCCCGACTGGGACTAGAACCTGGGGTGCCGGCACCGCAGGTGGAGGATTAGCCTATTGAGCTACGGTGTCAGCCAGTTCTTTTATTTTTTAAAGATCTTTTTAAAGCGTGAACCTTTTTTTTTGTAGAAATTTTTATTTATTTATTTGTTTGAGAGAGTAGCAGAGAAAAGAGAATGATAGAGAGATCTTCCATCCTCTAGCTCACTCCCCAAATGGCTGCACAGGATGGGACTGTGTCAGGTCAAAACTTGGAGCCCAAAGCTTCATCCGGGTCTCCTACGTGGGTGCAGGGGCCGAAGCATTGAGCTGTCTTCTGTGGCTTTCCCAGGCACATTAATAGGGAGCTAGCTGGATTGCAAGTGGAGCATGGAGGACTTGAGCCAGCTCCCTTATGGGAAGCAGGCATTGCAGTTGGTGGCTTTACCAGCAGGGTCATACGCCAGCCCCATGAATTACCCCTCCTTTTTTGAAAGGGTTTATTTATTTTATTTGAAAAGCAGAGTTACAGGGGGGAGGGGGGAGAGATAGCCAGCCAGACAAATCTTCTATCTGCTGGTTCACTGTCCAAATGATCTCAACGACCAGGGCTGGACCAGGCTGAAGCCAGGAGTCAGGAACCTGGAATTCCATCCAGGTCTCCAATATGGGTGCAAGGGGCCAGGTACTTACTTCATCTTCTACTTCTTTCCCAGGCACGTTAGCAGGGAGCTGGATCGGAAGTGGAGCAGTCAGCACTAGAACCCATGCCCATATGGGATGTCAGCGTCACAGGCAGCAGCTTAGCCTGTGGTGTCACAGTGCTGGCCCCTGGTTCTCAGTTCTGAAGGTTCAGAAATACATGTAACAGGTCAGAATCTGGATTGGAAGATTCACTCTAACTAGAAAAGACTGATATGCAAACCTGAATGATTGATTATGATTAGTTTAAGCAGTGGTACGTTGATGCATGGGCCAGAAAGCTAATTTCACTACCTAGTAGGCTATTATATGGGTAATACGTAAGCTTTGGAGGAGTGTGTTTATATTTCGGAAGATACTTTTCAAATTAGAATCAAACAGAAGATAGTTTTGAAGTGTATACCTATTACCCTCTAAGTTCCCAGAGAGCAGGTACTATTTCTGATCTATAACTGGCTGATTGGCAGAGTGCTTGGCATACATTAGGCATTCAAGTATATGTTAAATTCAGATTATTTGAACTAATCAAACATACCTAAAAGTACGTTAATCTAGTTTCTCTTTTTTTGTTTAAGCTATATGATTCTATCTCATTTGGTTTCATAAACTTTTTTTTAGTGCCAGAGTATGCCCTGGCATGTCTTTAAAAAGAAACTATTATAAAGATCTCTTTGTAGGGCCGGCGCCGTGGCTCAATAGGCTAATCCTCCACCTTGCGGCGCCGGCACACCGGGTTCTAGTCCCGGTTGGGGCGCCGGATTCTGTCCCGGTTGCCCCTCTTCCAGGCCAGCTCTCTGCTATGGCCAGGGAGTGCAGTGGAGGATGGCCCAGGTGCTTGGGCCCTGCACCCCATGGGAGACCAGGAAAAGCACCTGGATCCTGGCTCCTGCCATCGGATCAGCGTGGTGCGCCGGCTGCAGCGGCGGCCATTGGAGGGTGAACCAACGGCAAAGGAAGACCTTTCTCTCTGTCTCTCTCTCTCTCACTGTCCACTCTGCCTGTCAAAAATAAAAAAAAAAAAAAAAGATCTCTTTGTAGAGATATACATGTGTTTTATATGTTCATAGTTGATCTTGAGGGTTTTTAAAAGTTGTAAGAGAGGAGTAAGTTTCATAGCCATCGTATCCAGCTCCTCTTCAACATTTAAGGATTGATGTTGATATAAGTATTGAAAATAGGGGTTGGCTTTGTAGTGTAGCGGGTAAAGCTGGTGCCTGCAATGCTGGCATCTCATATTGGCATTGGTTCCACTCCTGGCTGCTCTACTTCCCATCTGGCTCCCTGCTTACAACCTTGGAAAAAGCAGCAGAAGATGGCCTGAGAACATGTCCCCTCCCCTGCGCACCCTTGTGGGAAGAAATTCTTGGCTCCTGGCTTTAGCTGTTGCAGCCATTTGGGGAGTGAACCAAGCAAATGGAAGTTGTCTCTCTCTCTGTTTCTCCCTCTCTGTCTCTATAACTCTGACTTTCAAACAAATAAATCTTTCAAAAACAATACTGAGGGGCTGGTGCTGTGGCATAGTGGGTGAAGCTGCTGCCTGCAGTGCTGGCATCCCATATGGGTGCCAGTTCAAGTACCAGCTGCTCCACTTCCTGTCCAGCTCTCTGCTATGGCCTGGGAAAACAGTAGAAGATGGCCCAAGTGCTTGGGCCCCTGCACCTGCAGGAGAGACCTGCAAGAAGCTCTTTGCTCCTGGCTTTGGATCTGTCCAGCTCTGCCCATTGCGGCCATTTGGGGAGTGAACCAGCTGCTGGAAGCTCTCTCTCTCTCTCTTTCTCTCTCTGCCTCTCTGTAATTCTGCCTTTCAAATAAATAAATAAATCTTTAAAAAATAGGAAATATTGAAAAAAATACTGAAAATGTTGTTTAAGAAAATTAAATTAACCTATTAGAAGGACTATTATGCTTTATTAATAAAACTTTTCTATAAGATTTTTTTTTTAGATTTACTTTATTTATCTGAAAGAGGTACAGAGAGAGGTAGAGACAGAAAGAGAGATCTTCCATCCGCTGGTTCAC